AAGGGCACATGTGTTTCAAGTTATTTTCAACAAATACTGATTTTTTTCTATTGTTGAGGTCACTTATCATCATCAAATTTTTGGCACCCTGATATGTAGCCATTTCTTCATCTGTGAAAACTCACAAGAATTAATTAGATTATAAATGTGAAAGCAATTTGTAAATTGTAAAGTGCTATGCAAATGTTAATTGCCAGATGTTGAATAATACCCTCAACTTCTTGACAATCCACTAGCTTTCTATGAAACTATTACAGTATTTTTGTTCAACAACCTACCCTCATAGAAGTTTTTCTGATTAAAATTGTAAACTAATGAAACATCAAGGTAATATCCTCCTTCATGCCATTGTATTTTAAATTAGCAAGTCGTAGAAATAAAGTACCAAATTGATGAACTGGAAAATATTTTCCCTCATTCTACTGAATCAGTGTGAGTCTACTACATTTGCTCAGTAAAGTTTTACTTTTCATGTGTTAATGCCTCTGAAGAATAATGGGTAAGGATAATACATTCTAGTATCTTCCAAAGACTTAATAGAACAAGACTGGAGGCTATCTAAAGCCTCTGCCCAAGACGTTCATCTGCTCATCCTCCAGACTTCCATCTGCTCACCATCCTGCAAAATCTATGGCATAGGGAAGATATTTAATACTCATTTATCCAGTGAACGAGTGAAAGGCTAGATAAATGACTAAGAAGAGCGTCTAACGCAGCAAGCCTACCAACAGGCAGTAGCTGAAAAGGGAGTATGCCAACCAGAGACCATGAATCCTCTGGCCTCAACCACCCCTGGCTGTGAGTTTGAGCAAGTTACTAGGTCTTCATATAGCCGTTTCCTTGAAATTAAAACAGAGGAAATAAACACAGAGTCACAGAACTGTCTACCCTGTGTCGGGAACTTAGAATCCCTGGGTAAGCACTTAGCCTCCTTAGGCCCCAATTCCTTATCTGTAAGATAACAAGTTTTGACTGGATAATAGGAATATCTGCTCTATCTTAGGGTCTATAATTCTAAATTAGCTTCAGTGAGAAAGAGATTAAAAATGCTTTGAAAATTGTTAAAGGTACTATACATATGTACAATATAGGTGAAAAAGGCCAATAATAGGAAGATAACATTCAGTCAGAAGATTCTAAACTTATCCATCATTCTTCTGAACTATTCATACCTTTTAAGGATTCCCTTTCTTTTGGAGCATCCTATCCTTTGCATACCATATCAAAGGCATTCTTACAGAATACAGTGTAATATTGGTCACCCACCTCAAAAACTCACTTTCTATATTTGTAGCTAATAGATATATAGCAAAGAGCCCATGTCATTAACGATAACTTAAGTTATCTTTTAGTTCACAGTTTTCCTTGGTTTATTAATGGCATAACACATTAATTCTTCTTTCAGGGGTGACCTTTACAACACCATTAATGTGCACAGCTTTTATCCAACTACATTATTACTCATTACAGTTTCAGCTTTCAACATCTGCATTTGCTGAAAAGAGAAAAGTAAATCGTAGTGGCCTCAAATCCTTGGAAACTATGAGGGATGTGTGGATGGGTATGTGGTGAAGGGATTTTTCAGGGGGAAAAAAAAAAAACTAAGGGAAGTTTTAGTAGTAGGGAAAGTCAGATGATAAATGTCATTAAATACATTTTTGCCTTTCTAAAATATTTTGTCATACTTAATCCCTGGAATGCTGAAGTAAAAAATTCTCATATGATAAAAATGCAAATCTATCCGTTATTTTGTTAAATATTCTAGTTCTGGTGACATTACAAAAGTAGCTCATAGACCAGCACTGTGATATTTATAAACCTTCATGTCTATTTTGTAAGTGAATCATTCCTGCCAAATAAAATATTCTTTCTTTTACATACTTAGGACATGAAAGCAAGTTTTATCTTGGAGTCCATTTAGGATGTGGAAGGGAGTAACTGAGTTAGGCCATAAAAGAGTGGTGCATAGTGATAAAAAGCGGACGTGTACCCCAACCTTTTTCAAACTTCTCAAAACTTAAGTTTTCACAGTGTCTGCTCTTACTGCTGTCCCACTGCCCCAGACTGACTTCCTCTTGGCAAAAAATCTGGAATTCTGCTCTGTGGAGACTGAAGCATTTGAAATACATTCCTTCAGCTTTTTTTTTTTTTGTCCATCCCACAATTTCTCTGTAACTTTACCCCTTTTTTTCCTTTGTTTTGTTCAGTCTCAGAAAAAAGAGGGGCTTTGTTCCTTTCCAAGGTTAATCCTTTCTCACGATCTCTTGTCTTATTCCATCATCGTCCATCTTCTCTTTCACATCTTCATCTCTGACTCTTCTTCCCTTTGACTGTATATATACATATATATATATATAGTCATATATATATGAATGATTGCCCTATTTTAAAACCTGTCTTTACGCAGTCCTTTTAAAATAATCACTTCTCAACACCAAGCTTACAAAAAAGACTGGTCTATAGATCAACTGCATTTTCTCTCCTCATAGTCTTCAAACCATTGTGATTGAAATTCTGTTAAGGCATTCTCCTAAAACTTCTCTGTCAGAGTTTACCCCTCCATGAGCTCCAGCTAAATCATAAGGCTTTTCTTTTTCTTTTCTTTTTTAACTTTTCTGCCAAATGGGACACCATTAAATAACCCCTTCTTTTTTGAAACTTTCATTTTTCCTAGGCCTGCATGACACTGCCCTATCTTCATTCTTATTCTAACACAGTCACTTGTTCTTTATCAGTTTTCCCCCTAAAAAAGTGTGCTGGTTTTAAAATGTGCCCAACGATACTTTGATATTCCCCTTCCCTTGAGTTGGGCTGCACTTGTGATTCTCTTACAATGAAGAGAGTAAAGCAGACTGGACTCTGTGTGACTTTCAAGACTAGGTCATAAAAGGCACTGTGGCTTTCTGTTTGCTTACCCTCTTAGAGCACCCACTCTCGGGAAAGTTAGTTTCCATGCAAGGAGCAACTCTATGGAAAAACTCACAAGGCAAAGAATTGACCCTCTAGCCGACAACCATGTGAGTGAGACATGTTGAACAAGAGCATCTATCCCTAATAAAGTCCACAGAGGACTATAGCCCTGCCTAACACATTGATTACAATCATAAGGCCTTACACCAGAACTACCCAGCTAAGCTGCTTCCAAATTCTGACCCTTAGAAACCGAGATAATGAATGTTGGTTATTTGAAGCTCCTGAATTTTAGGTTAATTTGCTATGCAGTAATAGATAACTAATACAGTAGGTAATACCTATGATTCTTTATCCCACTTCTTTTCTTATTATACACACTCTTTTTGCTGAACTTCCTTTTTTTCTAAAGGTGCATATATCTTTTCATTTTCTTGCTTCTAATTCTAGTATAGCTAACATAGAGTGTCATATTAGTTTCAATATGGTGATTTAATAATTCTATACTTAGTTTCAATATAGTGATTTAATAATTCTATGCATTACTCTGTGCTCATCATGATAGGTGTACTCTTCATCCCCTTATATCATATATAATTCTACATCTAAAATGCTAGCACCCTTTTACATATCAGACTTACGTTTATAGTTTCCTCCTGAATATCTCTACCAAAATTGCTCCTTGTGTTTCAACGCTTACTACATTTTTATATTTATGTCTTCCAAATCTGCTTCCACTCTGGTCTTCTCTTTCGCAGTTAAGGGAGGTATTATCCTTCTTATTTTATGAATTCAAAATCCTAGACTCCTCTGTCTCCAACCTGAACTTCACCAGGTAGTCTCTGTTGAGGATAGGTTACATCAAGTCTTCTTTACTAATATCTCTTTAATCTATTCCTTCCTTTGTTTTATCATCGCTTATTTCTATTTCATGTAACTAACTCTTGTCCTACACTAAAACAATGGTTTCCCAGATTCCTATCTCTTCCTGCTGCCAATACTCTTCTTTCTTAAAGTTCTGATCAGATTGCTGTCTGGAGAAAAATTCAAAATTTCTTAGGATAGCATTCAGCCAGATTCCATCTGCTCCTTTCAGTTTTAGCCCTGATCACTTTTCACTACACATTCATTCTACATTCCAGCCAAATCAGTGCATTTCTCAAAAACATGCTATTTTACTCTGGGTTTTTTTCTTAAAGGCTAAAATGCGGAGGAATGTCTCTTTTCCTCAAGACTCCACTCGAATTAGGCTATCGCCAACTTGGCCTTCCTTGATCCTTCCCAAATAGAATCCAACACTCTTCTTTTTGATTACAAGGTTGTATCTGAAATAGCACTTCCTATGGCTGACTAGTACTATAAGAGGGATAACTTTTCCCCTAACTAAACCCTGAGCTCCTGGAAGGTTTGTCAGTGCTAGCCTCCTTATAACTCTACGCAAGTGATAAACATATCAATAAATGTAGGTTGAAGTAAGGGTTTACAGTCTAATTTATGTGTTACTGAAGTAAAAATTACTGGAAGTTTTAAAAAGTTAGCTTATAGAAGCATTTTCTAGTGTTTACTTTACCAAAATGACAATTATGGAGAAATGAAGCTACATAATTTTTATAATACTTCGGCGTATTCAAGTAAATCTCAAGCAGTATGGAACTGAACAAACTTCATATCCTGATGGGTGACTGCTGATCTAAATAGAATGTATTTTATCATTATGTATAGTTTGTACACATCAAAAAACACAAAAATATATTTCAGTAATGGGAAAGGCAAGTCACCTAACAACAACATTCTGGAAACATTGCTCTCTGTGATTAAGTCATTTAGGCCTCTTTTTTATAAACTTAAGAACATCTGTTACATCAACAAACATAACCAGTTCAATTAGCTTTTCAGGGGGACATTGTAACTTGGACTTCAGTTATAAATTTCATTTGCATGTTTAAAACACACCTACGAGGTTCATCAGATTGAAACTCTCCTACGGAACTAAAACCATGCACAGGGTATGCGTGATTTGCCATTAAAAGATGATTTCATTCAATTGCCATAAACAGAAAATCAGCAAGAACAAAAGAAACAGAACTTACCTATTGTGCTAACTCTGGCTGAAGGACTAGCTAATGCTGCTGGGACAGAGGCTTTGAGGGGGCCTGCCCCACTGTTTATTCTCAGAGCTGGCATATGGGGAGAGGTGGGTGATGTGGGTGATTTGCCATCAGAGGTCTTGGGTTTAGCTGATAGGTTCAGTGGCTGTGCCACTTCATCCTGCAATGATCATTAGAACATGAGCTGTGATAAGGCAAGGCTGATCAAAAATGCCTAGAAAAACACAGGTATATAGCCTGTCATTTCCCATAAAATTACTCTACCAATCAGTGATCTTAACATTCAACCTGTACATTACAATGTTTGGTTAGCTGTCAACAATGTCACTTTTAACTACATATTATGAAAAACCTTTAGTATAAGTACACGTGCACTCAACTATCCAGAAAGTATATAACTGATGTGATCTGTAAGAAATAGTCTTAAGCTATTCCTTGTGCTACTCAGTTCTATTGAGAGACAATTACATAATTCATATAAAATTATGATGTAGGTAGGCTTTTTTCAACCTCCGAAGAACAGGGGTTGAATCCCAAGCACCTTTGTACCCTGGTGTTTAGACAGAGTACCTGGAACATCCATGATGGAGGAATTAAATGGTGTGTACCTCTGATCAGAACTCCTCTCCAAATTAAATACAAAAAAAAGAAGGAAACTTTCTAACTTTCTTAGAAAATAATCTTTTCTCCTAGGTTTCACAGAAACAGTTTTGGAATTGATCTAAAAATGAAAATAAACATAATCGACATATACCAATATGTACTATTTATTTATATGCGACACTGTTCTAAACACTTAGCATTACGTTTTTAAATCTAGATTTGTTTTCCAGATTTTCCTTACAATGTATACCACAATCAATACATTGTGGAATGAAGATCTTTATGTGGTTGATTCAGCACATAGGGTGAATTGTTCATTACTTGAATAGGTCAAGTTTATGTAGTTTACATTCTATTTTATACCTTTCTATATTAGCCCTTGTGTAATTTCATACATAAAATTTATGTATACAATTATCATTAAAGTTTCTACCACATCAATTATTAGAATCAGATAATATTAACATTACCTCACTTTTTTATCACAGAGACATTAATTTCTTTTTGTGCTGTAAAATTAAAATATCATGTCATATGCTAAACCTTATTGTTTACAATATCTACAAGTTTACAAAGTATTATTGTAGAATAAAAATTTAGTTTCCACTTAGCTACTGTTCTATCTTCATGAGTTAAGAATGTAAAATATCTACCAGTAGTAGCAGGATAACTTGCTGAAAGTGGAACAATTTAGATTCAAATGGTGTGATTTGATGGCATGGAAACATATATTAATGTGTACAAAATTTTATATATATAGCTACCAAAAACCATTGAAATCACTTTATAAAAACAGTAAAATGGTATAATATGACATCTATTTAAAGTTTATATTTTTAAAGTGGTTTATTGTTATTAAATTCCATGGTTAGCTGCACTTAGGAAACTTATGAACAGACAAGAAGAAATTACTCTTTAACACTTTTTTTTCTGTTTTCTGTTTCAGAAAAAAAGAAGAGCTATCTGAAAATCTATGAGAATTCAAATGGTAATCTAGGATCACATTACATGTGTAGTAAGTTGATAACCATCATACCAAATTTATATGGACTCATGGTCTTGGAAGAAAGGAAAGTAAGCTAATTCCATGACTGGTTCACTATACAATTAAGAAAAGTTTACTTTAGCATTTTAAAAACTGCAGGGGCAAAATTATTCCTAGACCTTCTAGTCTAGAACATTTGGTTGAGCTGGTGAGCCATAATCCTTACATATGATGTTAATGGTTGACAGAAACCCAGAGGTATTGTGCCCTTTTCCCCCATACTACAGTACGGATGGGTAGTTCACAAATGTGATCCTTGGATCAGAACCAACAGCACCTGGGAACTTATTAGAAAAGCAAATTCTCTACTCTAGAAACTTTGGAGGTGGGTTCTAGCAACCTATTTTAATAAGCATTCCCAGATGATTCTGATACAGACTAACATTTGAGAGCCACACCTTATACAATATAAAGGGAGAAAAACTAAAAAAAAAATTATTAAGCTTCAAAACCTTTTTAAAAAAGCTTCCTCACTATAGGGAGATAGCATTAAAAAATACATAATGTTGGGGCCCCTGGGTGGCTCAGCTGGTTTAGCATCCGACTCTTGATTTCGGTTTTGGTCATGATCTCACGGATCGTGAGACCTTGCCCCAAGTCCCGCTCTGCTCAGCATCTGCTTCTCTCCTTCTCCCCCTTTTTCTGCCCCTCCCCCAGGCTCGTTCTCCTCCACGAGCCCTCTCTCTCTCAAATAAATAAACCTTAAAAAAATAGCATAATGTTATCTCAATCCTTAAAATTTTAACAAAGCATAACATATGCTAATAATAATAAAGGAAAACATGCATATGCATAATAAACTAAATGCTACTGACATTCAGTAGGCCACTAAAGATTAGGATCCAGATTTTCTTCTTGTCAATTCAGCCTAAATATCCAGTCAGATAGGAGGTTTACTGACTGTTTACTATGCAGCCGTAAATATTCTAGACCCTTTTTCCTCTATCAAATGTATCTGCTTACTATTTTCTGTATGAAATTACTGGCTTTTATCATGACAGCCTGAAAACCTCCTTGGACAGTATTCACAACTCTTGCAAAAGTTTTGAGGGGAGACTTGGAGAAATTAAGGTGGTTGTTTCACTTGACTGTGCAGAAAAAAAGAGAGGAAGGAATATATTCCCAGAGTCGCATGGGAAGAGATTTATGAGCACAGAGGAAATAGAGCGTGAGTGTTTACGTGTAGGGGGAATGATGGTGTTGACGAAGATGATGCAGATGTAGGTGCTGATGGGATATGAAGCATATGAAATGTCATATGCTTAGCTTTAAGCACTAAGAACTATTACATGCACGTACTGAAAAATGACTACCCAAAGCATTTATTAGAGCAAGAGACCCACTGGAACTCTTAATATTCTCCTCCACTCAAGGCAGCACAGATGTCTGAAAGCCAAAAAGTGCAAAGCCCCAAGGACATAATAGAGGTTGACAGTTCCCAAGTTGATAGAAATGTCATTCAAAATTGCCCTTTCGTTCTCTTTCATTGTGTGACCAGGCTAATGGTATATTAATAAGAACCCACATGCTTGATCCTTGTAGTGGTAACTATATAAATAATTTTGACCCATTATATGATATTATTTCACAATTTGCTTCTTCTAATAATTTCCTACTGAGCTACTACACCAAATACTTATTATTCATCAAGAATACAAAAATTACAGTAGTTTTCCCATTTTCTATTAATTATTTTTCATTTGACTAGATGAGAAATTTAAAACCCTAACTATAAAATGAAAGTGGGCTATTTATTTATGACCTGCATTCTCATAACTATGAATATGCACAATGAATGCCAAGGTAAGGTTTTTTTCCTAAAGGTTTTTCTGCTTTGCTTTTTATTTGCAAGAACTTATTTAGGAGAAATTTGAAAGCTTAGCAAGATTAAACCCTACTCTTACAAATAAAGTATGCATTTTAAGATTGTAAGTAAATAATTTTTATATGAAAAAATGTAAGTAATTTTTAAGGTCAAGAAAGCACTGGAAAAACAGCATTTCTATGAAGTACACCATAAAGAGATAAGGAAAGCAATTTCTTTTTAATTACTTGTCCAATCGTTAAATGATGCTGCGATTTGAAAATTTTGAAAATAGCATATTTCATAATTAGTTAATTTATATACAAAGCGATAATTAAGAAGAATCTCACGTATCTGTTGAATAGTTCCAAAGTTGATATGCTAACCTAATATAAATAAAAGGCAAACATTTAAACTTAAGAAAATGTGTAAGCAAAGGTAAGCGAGTTTTTACCAGAAGGTTATTACTTACATTTATAAAATTCATTATAATATTTCAAATCATTTATTTAATCTTCAATTCTATGAAGTAATTAATAATCTCAGAAGGGAAACCAAAACTCACAAAGTTCTAAAGAAACCCAGGTTGCTGGGCTCAACATACAATATTCTTTTTAGTTATATAACAAATTTAATCTTGAATTGAAAAAGACATTGATGCAATGGAATTTCTGAAGTTTAGACTTAACCATATAATTCTTCACATAAAAAAGCCACATAAAGGTCAATACACATGCAATAAAAGGAAGGAATACATGCATTCACTACTTATATACTAGCTTAAAACTTAAGGCACAAATGTTGATTTATTTTGGAGGTTTTTTTTTGTGCTTCTCTGTTCTCTATACACATAGCATCAAAAAGGTCCTTTGGTAGTGCTAAAGAGCTATTAAATTAGGCTATGTTTTAGAAAAATACCAAGGGTCCGTGTACAGTATGTCAGAAAATACAGTAATTTGTACAATAATGTGTAAGAGAATAATATTTCATACATATAAATGCAATTTTTAGGAACCTATTTATGATTATAACTTCTCCTAATAAAGTCTTGTCTAATCTAAAACAAGTATAATCTAAACAAACATACAGTTTCAGGCATATTCCACTTACTTATAGCTACTACAACTTGTCTAAAAGCAGACATTTCACTTAACATCAATTTGTGGTCATGGTAATAGAAATATTGTGGAGGTGTAATGAATTTGTGTCCTAGCCAACGCAAAGAAATGCCCCACACAGATAAATAATGAATTTGGATGAAGAAAATTATTTGACATAAACATATAGCCTTAGATGCACTGGAGAAATATAACTGTCATCACAAATGCAGGATTATTCCACATAAACTTAACAAAAACTGTAAAATAACTATATAAATTTAAAATGTATTTTACTTAGATGATTTTCAAATAATAGGTTTATTCTAGGAAATACATGTTAGTCTAACATAATTGTATAACATTCTTAATTTTTAATATGCAAAGACCAAATTGCTCACAGAAATCAAACATAATTTATCAGAGAAAAATCGTTCTCCAGAATCCTGGAGGTTTAGGTCTCTCTCCCCACTCCTTAGTCTTTCATTTTTTTTTTTTTTTTTTGCTCAGGAATTTTAATAGAGAACTAGAAAACAGGGATACCAGTATCCTAAGGAAATCTACTCCTTTCCCTTTGTCTCCTTGTCCTTCACAACAGAGAATATATCTAC